CACTTCCTGGTCTCAGGCCCAACAGGAAATGGAGGTACCAAAATACCATGAAAATGGCTGCGCCTGTGGTAAATCTGGTCTGGCTGAAGAAGTGGAAACGCTAGCAATGTCCTGAGTGAGCCAGATCTTGAAAAGACTTGTAGCCTGATTTCCAAACCAACACAGACCAGATAGTTTTTGGATAGCAGCTAAACCTACGGAGACTTCTCAAAGCAAACCAAACCCTGGGATTTACCAGCTTTCAAGGAATAATTGTAGCTATTCTTTAAGGTATTCAATGGGCAACAATGGAAGGATGAAAATATCACAAGTGGTCAAAGCATGTGTGATTTACCTCTTTCTGTTTCCTTTGTCCTGCTCTTCCTTCCCCATTGACAGTCAATTCCACTCTTTGCTTCTAGCTTTACAATCTTCCTGGTGAGAGGTTGACTTGCCATCTCCATTATGTATTTCATATAGTAAGGTACAGTTTATGTTGACTGCATGCAGAAATATTACTTTTAACAGCTGATCAAAGGTTTTGCTGACACTTTCAATAATAAATCCTCACAGGTTTTTGGCTTGTTTCTTTAATGAGAAATGTCTTGAGAGAGAATTTATAGCAAGGAGGCATTGTTGAAAGCACTTTATTTTCAGAGTTGATGTACCCTTGATTGTACCAATGCCCATTTGCAGTAACAATGCTACTAGGATCTGGAGCCACTTATGGTCTTATTTATGGTCTTGGTTTTTGAGTCAGAATTAGAGTAATTTTTCCAAATGTTTGTGTTTGCAGGCGCCATCCAAATGGGTCCTTAACTTGGAAAGATTTGATTGTACTGAGCTTCCCTTTACTGAACTACCTTAGTCGTCCATCTCATACTGGTGAGTATAAGTATATATATATATCCAGGGCATTAAATACTATTGAATACTCACAAAGCATGTGCCAGGGGAGAAAAAGAAAACAATTATTTCCTGAAATATTCAGCCTCTGATGAAAGAAACTTTTAACAGGCTCATTTCAAGGTGCTCATTTCAAGAAGTGATTTCTAGCAGACTTTCTTCCCTTGTAAGGCCTAGGATCAATACTAGATAGATAAAGACATGCAGCTCAGCAAGGCTTTGAAAGCACGAAATTAAATAGTTTGTGGTATGTTACAAGTCATGAAAATTTTAAAATAAGAAACCAGTTGTGTCCTACTGTTTGTACAAGCACACACACAACACTGTAACTGATACAAAAGCTAAGCCGGTGGTTCCAAAAACACGGCAAAACAATGCCAAACTAATGTGGAGATAAGCATGGTGATCTTAAGCTTATTCTTTCTTCAAAACACTATGTTTCAAAACAAAAGTACCTATAGCCTCAAGATATGACTATTCCTCTAATATAATATGCCAGTAAGGCTCAGCCATCACCAGTTTACTACACTGAGAAAGAATAGGTGCATATCGTTGAGCAGAATAAAAACACAGCATCGAAAAAGCATTCCAACAATGTAATACAAGAATTCCAGGCTATTACCTGACTTTCAATAAACAAGGTAACTCTGAAGATATTTTGTGTAAATTAAGAATGTTTTACATTATTATTTGACACAAGGGGAGGAAAAAAACAGGAGCAGCCAAATTGGCTACAGTCCCTCCAAATCTCACAGTTTCTTATGAGACAGCTCCCAGTTTACCTTCCCAAAATGAAAGCCATTGTTCTGTTGCCAATGTTTGTTTATTTGAAATAACAATAAGTAGAATACTAAATAATGCTCTCCTCCACCATCCATCCTTGTGGCTCAGTTAGTAACTCAGAACTGGAATATCACATTTCCCCCCACTGTGCCTATTTCTGCAATATGTTTCTAAACAGGAGACAAGTCCAGGAGCAGCTTTAGCAGAGAGTAATTTTTTACCACAAGAGGCCAAGATTGCTACAAGTTTAAAGTTGCTTTGGGCTATGTCTAAGCCAATGAACCCACAAATACTTAAAAATTCTCAGACCTTGGTGCATATCTTGGCTTCCCAAAAACGATTCAGCTCTTCCTTCATGCTTCTCCTCTGCTCTGGTACACAGATGGAGACCCAAGCATGTAATCTAATGAAAAGTATGACATCTAATACAAAAACATTATTCCTAATTAAACAAGGATACAGGTCTATAGCTGCTGGAAGTACTGTCTGAAAGCAATACTTGCTCTACTTCTGAAGCTAGCAAGGACATCAAGCTAAAATAGCTCAGAAAGTTGTTTTGCCAAATTAAAAACGTAACGTACCTAGTGTCCCCTCACTGCCCAGCCATCACCCAGTTTGTCTCTCAGAACCCAGAGTTGTTCAAAAGGTAGGCAATAAAAAAAAGTCCGATTCATACAGCCAACTTCTGAAAGAATGACACTGATGCCAGGAGCTTCATTAAAGTAATTCTTGCTAGAGGAAACATGAACTGTACTATCACAAGGTTGCTACGGTTCATCTTATGGCAGATTTACCACTGTGGTTAAGGAGACTGTGCCTCTGCTGTTATTGCCACCACCTGGCAAGCCGCATATCCCTGACAGTGTGCTATCATTAGGATTAGGCACAACCTTCCCTATAATCATCCTGCAGTTTTCATAAAACTCTCATCTAGAGAGAGAGGATAAGACATGGGGAAGTGTTCTGTCCCAGTGGCATCTGGATATTTTTCTTTCTAATTCTAACCACAAACAATAGGGGAAACTTCATCTGATGCACAGAAAAGAATGGTAGTTCTCTGTCATTAAATAAGGGCACAGCAGGTGAAAAGAAAGTCATGCATTTCTCTGTTGTTCCTACATGGCCTGGGTTTGGTTTTCGTTACAATTGGGCAGATCTCACTCACGAATATCTGAGAAATGTGTGGGAAGGGGTTATACAGTCTGTGAGCTATAAGCAAAATGACTGCGGGAGTGAAGAATGATTTAGTGATGGTACTTGTTGCTGTTACAGTGTAGTTGGTTTGGTTTTGTTTAAACAGGGAAGTACACAGATAGCAGAAAGTAAACCTGCCTCGTGCCACCAGAACTCAAAGTTTAGTCTTGCAAGAAGTGCAGAGCATGTATGCATGAGTGTGTGTGTACTGTTTTTTTACCACGCGTGTCTGTCAGCTCATTACCCATTTTATGGAATGATTCACAATGTACACTGCTACTCATATGTGCTGGCCATCTCTGTAAGAAGAGCACAGCCAGCAGGAAGATGAGGATGGGCTCACTATGGCCCAACAGCAACACGTCCTGCTATTCCTACCAAAACGTTTGACTTTTGCTCAGATTGAAAGTTTAAAGCCTCCAGCATTGATACCTCTTTGGTAGCACAGGGCTGGGGATTCCACCAGTACTAACTTGTCTGATCACGGCTCATAAAGATGCACACTACTGTAAGGTGCAGAAATGAATTATGCACACTCTGGCTGGGTGAGAGGGGGAATGGAGAGGATGTAGATATTTCTGCAGCAGCTGAAGTCAAACGCATCCACATGAGCTGATGCCATTTAATTTTTAAAGGGTTTTCCTAAGTGCCCTCAACCAGATTTTTATTCCTCCAGCTTTAGGGAGGCAGGCAGCCATCCACTGAACAACAGTCACATTCAACAGAGCCTTGCAGACACACATGGAGAGGCTTTGGTGTCATTTCATTCAGGGAACATTTTAAAGTGATATAACAGCCACCATCACTCCTATTTTACATTTGGGCATATTCAACATTTCTGATTTACTTCTATGCTAATATTTAGAACTTTTAAAATGCATCTTAGAAATAATATAACATGTAGTCTCTTGCAAACTCCCTTTACATATTTATGAAAGTGAACTTGGAATTAAATTACAGTGTTACCCTGTTAACTGGAATAAGGTACCACCTGAGGCCCCACGGGTGCTTCAAATGAGGTTTTTAAAAGAGAAAAAAAAAAATAAATAAATAAAAAAAATCACTGCAGTTTCTCTGTCCCTCACTTGGAAATGTCACACACTATAAAATCCACAAAGCATTCCTTCAAGGTTTTCAATTGTCAGATTCTAAACTCCAAATCATTTCAAAAGAGGAAAAAAAAAAAAAAAAAAAAAAAAGAGAGAAAGAGAGAGAAAGAGAGAGAAAGAGAGAGAAAGAGAGAGAAAGAGAGAGAAAGAGAGAGAAAGAGAGAACAAAAAGCAATCCACCAAGATGAGAAGGCAAGACTTCCCCTGAAGAATTTCAGGTATGAACAGCTCAGACCCCCCCCCCCCCCTCCGCCCCAACTTTTCCTTGAGCTTTCCCTGTCTGCCCCCTCCCCACTGAATAGAAAGATAAAAAGAAAACAGCTCTCAGTATTTTGCAGAGGGTTGTTTTCTGAAAGATCGAGACAAAAATAGGGTCTATTTCACTTTGCAACTGCCTGTGACTTCAGCATAATAAACTCCAAGGGGCAGAGCCTTCACCAAAACACTTAAAAAACAGCTTCCAAGGGATACTCCTTGCCCGTTATGTTTACTCAAGCACTTGTTTAAAAACATTTAAGGAAAATGTTTTTATTTCTACAGATTGCATTAATTATAGCTTTGCAAACACTGTGAGCCCTACAAGAAGGCTGCACTAGCTATTAGCTGCAAACCTCAGGTCTTGGCTGGAGAAGTGGTTATGGCTTATTTAGCAAGCCTAATGAATTGGCTCACCCATCTCCACGCAGGGTTCCATGTTTAGCATCATGGAGTCTGGAATAGCCAAGCAGGGCTGTTTCCAGCCTCTTTATAAGCAAAAATAAAATGAAATCGGTCAACCAAAAGCAGTCCGCAAGCAGACCTCACTGCAGCGCTCTTCCCCTTCGGGAAAGAGAAGCGGCACCACGGGCATTAACTCTGGCCCGAAGCTCTGCGGAGACCCACAGGAAACTTCCTCCGCGCTCCCCCGGCAGAAGCGCAGTACCCGCTGCAGAGAGCGGGGCCGGGCGGGGCGGATGGGTCCTCCGGGCCGGGACAGCGGCGGTCGCCGGCTCAGGTGCGCCCCGGGGCCGGAGCGGCGGGCGGCCTTACCGTGAGTGCGGAGAGCTTCTGGGCCGGCACGGCGGGGAGCAGCTCGGGCAGCAGCAGCAGCAGCGGCACCCACATCCTGGGGCTGCGGCGGGCAGCAGCTCCGGGAAGCGGAGAAGGGGGACTATCCCCGGGATGTCGCTCCCCCCAACGCCCGCTCTCAGGCTGGGAGGTCCCCGCTCAGGTCCTTTTCTAGTTTTTAACCCTCACCCCTTGGAGCTCGGGGCCGGGAGCGCAGCCGGCAGTTTTCCTCCCCTCTCCACGTCTACCGGGCAGGGAGCGGCGGCTCGGAGATGCTCCCCTGCCTCCTCCTCCCTCGGGGCTCCGCGCCTCCGGGCCGCCCTTTCTCCCCTCCGGTTGCGTCCACCCAGCGGTGGGGGAAGAGGAGATAAAGCTGGGGGGGGTGTGTGGAAGGCTGGACCCTCCCACACCTCCCCACCGTGTCCGCCGCCTGCGAGGGGAAGGCACTGCCGCTGCGGCGGGGCTGGCGGTGTGCGACCTCGCCGAAACGCTCGTTCCCTTTTCCTCTTATCCTCCCCCTGCCCAGCCCGGCCTCCGCTTTCTCCTCCCAGACTTCGCGGGTTAACCCTCCCCGATGCTCCGGGGGGCGCCGGCTTGCCCCCCCTCTACTTCAGAGGGGCTCGTTCTCCCCCGCCTCCTCCTGCAGCACCACGCACAAATCCGGGAAGCGCGGGCCGGGGGGCTGAGCCCCTACCCGTGCCCGGGACACCCGGTAGCGGAGCCCGTGGCAGGACGCGGGGCAGTCGCACATGCACACACGAAGGGTAGCGGGCGCTGCTCACACGGAGCGGAGCACCCCGAGGAGTTGCAGGTTGCTTCGCATGCAGTCCATGCCAGGTGAAAGCTCCCTCCTGGCAGTTTTGCACTTTTCTGCCTTGTCTTTTGGGATGCATGTAAAGAGATTTTCTTATTTCCTTAGTTAGAACAGTCAGAAGATCTCCTCTCCCCTGACTTCCTGAAATAAACCGTTTTTACTGCATTTTTTTGTCAATGAAGGAGTTCCCCGCTCCTCCCCTGAGACCCGCAGCTCTCTGCCAGCCTGCAGCGATCCCTGTGGCTCAATGGTTCTTTATTTTTGGGTGTGCTCATCTTTGGGAGGCTGCAAAGTGGTGCACACGCAGCACACCAGTGACATTTCCCCTAGGAGTCCAGACCTGACATCGCTGGCTTGTCATGCCTCCTGGGGATGGAGCAACAGCCTCACGCACAGTGAACCAAGGCAGAGAGAGGTGGAAATCAACTGCAGACAGATCTGTGTGCCCTGCTTGGGACAGCCACCGCTGGCTGTTCCAGATCCTGTAATGTTCAAAGCATGCAGCCAGCAATGTGGTCACCATTTTGCCAGATCTCAGCTGGGCACCTAGAGCAGTAAAAAATTGGAGTTTTTATAAAACAACGTGATAACACAAAGTCTGTGAATGTCTGAATGTTTTCTTAATACCTCCTGGACTTTTTAAATGGGAAAAATGAAAGATAAAGAAATCAACATATGGCATTGCCCAGGTCACAGCTGGCTTGGGACCCTTCCCTCCACCATGCAGACCCCCAACAGTCTCCCTCTAGCAGCACCTAGCAGATGCTAGCAGCGAAAGCAGGGATAGCAGATTGCCATTTGATGCAGTAAGCAGGACCTTTTTTTCCAGCTGTTTCCTCTCAGCTGGGATGGTGGTAAAATCTTATGATATTACAGAATCACATAGAATCACAGAATGGCCAGGGTTGGAAGGGACCTCAAGGATCATGAATCTCCAACCCCTCTGCCACATGCAGAGCCACCAACCTCCACATTTAATGCTAGACCAAGCTTCTCACGGCCCCATCCAACTTGGCCTTGAACACCTCCAGCGATGGGGCATCCACGAACTCTCTGGGCAGCCTGTTCCAGCACCTCACCACTCTCTCTGTAAAGAATTTCCCCCGGACATCCAACCTAAATCTCCACTCCCTCAACTTAAAACCATTTCCCCTCGTCCTGCTGTTATTAACCCTTTCAAAGAGTTGATTCCCCTCCGTTGTTTCTGTCAGAAGAAGAAGGAGTGTTTATTCTTATTGACCATGCATCCAGCCATCCATGTTGTGTCCCCTCCAGCTAGGCCCTGTCCAAGTGTTCACAGAATCACATAGAATCACAGAACCCTAGGAGCTGGAATGGGATCTCTGGAGATCACATAATCCAGTCACCTGCTAAAGCAGGTTCCCTACAGTAGCATAAGAAAGTGTCCAGGTGAGTTTTGAATACCTTCAGAGGAGACTCCATGACCTCTCTGAGACACCAGTTCCAGTGCTCCATCACTCCCACAGTCAAGAAGTTCTTCCTTGTGTTACCTCTTTCATTCATCAGTTATCCTTCATGTGGACCTAGTCTCATTTTCCTATAATCAAGCCTCTCATTCCTGTTGCCTTGTCAGTGCAGTCATTGTCATTGCAGCCCTCTTCTTTCTCCACCAGTCCTTCTCAGTCTGCCTCCCAGTCCCATTCCTCTTCGTTGCCATACAGCCCTGCAGCCCCGTGGCTGCTTTCCCATCTGCCACACTCTTTGTAGCTTGCTAACCCCACGGCCCTTTCACCATCAGCACAGTGGTGCCATTCGGCTGGGCAAATGCTCTACACAGCAGACACTACTAAATGGCATGGCAGTTTGGGTTTGACACTGTAGAAAGAATCCAAGCTCAGAATAGATGAGAAATTTATCTAATAAAAACAAGCCTCAGGTTTTTGAGGGTTTATAATGTCATCAAATTTCAGTGAATTTCCAGAGTTGGCAATAGCCAAAAGGCCAAAGTGGGAAGGAAGTCTGGAGTCAAGAAACTGGTGGCATTATGGTTTCAAAATAAAAATTCATTGCCAAAATATACGTTATTATTTTGTCTAATGTCATTTTTCCAACTTATTTCTCAAAAGAGATTTGACTATTCTACATAAAATTTATTCTTCCCTTTCTTTTCCTCCCATCCCATAAGATAACTAAAGAGCCTAAAGAAAATATTTTTAAACGAAAGTGTGAGACCAAGTGATAAAAATACTGGCAACAACTAAGCAAATTAAAATAGCGTTTGGTAGTGTAAAATGCAAAGTGACTGTAACAGGCAGAGCTACCAGTCACCACCGTGGTGGTAAGAAAACTACCTGCCTTCAAGTACTTACAGTCTGCTAAGATAAAGGTATAATAAGGGAAAGAAATGTTATTCCTTGTTATAGGTGTGGGAAGGACTATGGGAGAATCGTGATTACGATTCTTCGCATAGAATCATAGAATCGCTCAGGTTGGAAAAGACCTTAAAGATCATCGAGTCCAAACACAATCTATCTCTCATTTAAGAATTTTGGCAAATTGCCAAAAGGTCCCCTTTGCACAGATGGCACTGAAGGAAAATTCTGTTTTCCCTTTCTTGCTCCAGTTTGAGCGGTGGTTTTACCCAGAGAGAGCACAGGCCCTCTCCCACAGCCTGATGTGTTCTGAGTCACAGCAGGGTGCATTTTGACCCAGGCACCTCCTTCTCCATTCCAGGACCATGTCCAGACTTGATCTGTGCAGCATTAGGAATTGTACATAAGCTTTCTGAGGTCCTATGTGGGTTCTTGCACAATGAGACCCACATCATCTCCTTTTTCCCAGCTCTTTCCAGAACTGTATGCTCAGGAAGCTGTAGAAAGCAACTCAAGTTGCTTAAAAGATTGAGCCTCACAGTGTAATCCTGTTCAGTTTAGTTTAACAGCAATATATCCAAATATACAGGAAATACTCAGTGCAATGTACTGGAACATGACAACTTCCCTTTCCTATCTTTAATCAGGTCAAAAAATGGAAAAGGAAATTATATCTTGTCTGTAGAGTTGTTCAGGCAGCTTTAAAATCCCGCAGACAGTTGGCCATTCTGTATTAAATTCATCAGGATTGTTCCAATAAGAATGTTGGAAATTCTAACTGAGAAAGGAAAAATTGTCTGGCTCCTAAGTATCAAGACTATGGAAAGTAAATCCTCTTTTAAGTTTCAGTGCAGGACTGCATGCAAAAGGATGGACCGCAGGTTCAAAAAGAGCTATGTTACTTGGCTGAAGTATGTAAGGATTCAGGAGTCTGCTTCTCATTGCAGGATCAATTGGTTGGCAGAAGATTACACAATTTGTAGGAAGAGATTCTTTTTCTCCTATGTTTTATGACACCCACTGTGAAAGAATTACTAGGCAAAACCTTGGAATATTAATAGAGAGTAATATCGAAATTCAAAGAAGTTGTTCTTGTATTACTTAGAGAATATGCAGATATTTATAGACATATAAACATGTACAGAACAATTATTTCTATGTCATATGTCCAAAAAGAGACTTTCCCTCTTAGGTTTCTACATTGTTGAGCGTCACAAAGTGACAGAGACTGACAAGATCAGCAGAAGCACAAATAAAAAATATTTTTTAAAAAAGCAAATAATACTTAAAAAAATAAAATATTATCAGTATAGCTTCTTATAAACAAAATTAATAAATCAGAACCAATTGACATCTGTAGAAAGTCTCCTGGGGCTTTAATGTGGATATGAATGAAAAGACCAGATGGCAACACCAGATTTTAGCCCTACCATACCTGTGGTATTACACTGTATTCACAGTGCTATTCACAGTACTTGACATATGACTGCTCAAAAGAAAAAAAAAAAAAGAAGGAAAAAAAAAAAGGTATGTTTAATTTAAAGAAATAATAAAACTCTCTGCTGTCTTAGTTATTTGTGGTAGTATGGAAAATGGCATCCCAGAGATATGTAGGAGGTAGCAAGTCTTAATCAAAAAATAAAACTGACTCATTCTTTTATTATTTTTTTTAAGTAGAAATGATCTTTGTAAACTTCTCAAATGTGCAGTTTGTTTTAACACAGCCATGAGCAAACAGCTGATGACTGAGACATGCTCTGTGCCACATGAAATGTAGAGTGGAATTTTTGAAAGTGTTTATAGGAACCAGGAGCTGAGATCCTGTTTTGGAGAGCTACAAAGGAGAGCCAAATCCTAGTCCCAAAACACCAAGACCCACATATTATTTGACCATTAAAAATAAAGCCATCAAACCAGCCATTTAGAAAGGGAACAGAATGTAGAAATAAAGCAAAAGTTGCGACTGCTTAGGAAGAACAGACCCATGCATAACTGGCTTTCCTTGGATAGCTTCAAAAAATGTCATCCTTAGGTGAGATCTTCCAGTATCATCATGTTGCATTTCTTATGATTAAAGATCATGATTTGGAGTTTTATCACACTTTAACGAACAATCAGCATGATGGAAAGGACTTAATCCTTCAGGCCAATGACAACAGCACCACACATGCTGCTCTGTATCTTGTAGGGTGAGAGCTAGAACATTTCCCATCTGTCAGAGCCACAGTTCTGTTGGTTGTTGTAATGCAGGGAGAGGCATTGTTACTGACTCACTCACCTTACATTAAACCATCCCTCATCGTTTTGTGGCCCCTTCCACCCAAACATAGACCTTGGAACAGTGCAAT